TATCTGGGTGAAACGGGCCGATTATCAAAATAGAGAGCATGGAATAAAGATAGTGCCATAAGTTTCGCGAGATCCTTGATTCTTTAGCAAAACGTGCTAGGTCTTAAGGGAGAGGCTACCACCACTCTGATACTATAAATAGAAGATGAAGACATAGAAGAAAACAGTCAACACTCAATCAAAGACTTGCATTTTTACATCTTGTAGCCTTAGTTTTATCATTTAGTTTTACTTTTAATTTAGACATGTAGCTTCTCGTATTTCAATAAAATCAAACACTTATTCTACTAAAACCTTGTATCTTTTTACATCCGAGTGAACAATGATAAGGGAGCTCGGGACCCTTTTATTATCAATTGAGACCCAACATCTCTGGCACGCTTGGTATTTGTTGTTCACCACGAACAACTAATAATGAGAGAGAATGTATTTATTTAGGATTTATCTATTGTGTGAAATTTTAAGAATATCTTAAGATATTTATAATGATCTTCTATCGTGTAAATCAATAAGAGTTCGCAGGTATAAAGATCCAATTTATATATATTAAGTATGGGTTTCAATGACCCATTATTTAAATTAATGATTTTATTCTTATCTTTTTTCAAATATAATTTAAATCAATTAAAAATATTTAAATAGAATCACGTGAGATTTAAAAAATCTTTATAGATATTTGAATTAATCGCCTCATCATGTAGGACAATAAGTCCTGGTAGCTATCATGATTATTAATTTATATAGTAAATAAATAAATAATTTTTGTAAATAATAATATAATACACATTTTTTAAAAAATTAATTAATTAAATTAATGTATTTAAATTATAGTCACATTTACTAATGAGATCTTTTAGTCATGTGAGATTTTTGAATCTCCGTAGATCTCTAAAATAATCGTAATATCACGTGAGTTAATAAAGCTCCACAGGTATAACGATTATGATTTCATATAAGAAATATACATTATATATACATGCATAATAAATCAATTAAATTAATAAAAATATATTTAAATAAATTTATTTTTTTTTTGTGTAAGAATTTAAATTTCTACAGATATTTAGAATAATTATATTACTGTATAAGTTTATAAGACTTTGTAGGTATAATAATTAAGAGTCTTTAAAAAATATATAAATGCTTAAAAAATGTTATTAATACTTAAAAATATAAGTAAATAAATTAAGTTTTTAAACTTTTTTGTCGTGTGAGATTTTAGAATTTTTACAAATATTTAGGATAATTGTATTACCATATGAGCCAATAAGACTTTGCAGGTATAACAATTAAATTTTTGAAGAAATTATAAAATATAAAAAAATATAATTTTAAACTGTACTCCTTTTTATTTTTTTTCAAATTTTAAAAATTAAGAAAATAATTAAAATTAAATTACTTTTTGGCAATTTAAAATATACATATCAAAATTTTAAAAAATTATTTTATTTACAAAATAGTAAATTATTTCAAATTAATTTCTCTTCAAAAAAAAGAATATATGTTCACCAACAAATTTATAAACCTAAATTACGCGGACTTTGATTTTCATCGCAGGGTACGTAGGCCTCAGAGTTTAACTTTGGGTCAAGTCTTACCTTACAAATAAATAAATATTCCTTATTTTTTTATATCAAACATATGAATAAGAAAAGGGATAATTCAAATAACTTTAAAATCATATTAATTTAGCATAATTAACTTTAGGTAACTGTTTTTATGAATGGGTGTTATGGGGTGCCTAACACTTTTCCCACACTCAATTAACTCTCAAATCTATTTCTAATTTCGCAAACCATCCTTATTTTTTTTGGTTTCCCAAGATTTTTCCTCAAAATTTTAGTGATGATTCCCATTCAGCCAGTTTTCACTCCAAAGGCTAGAACCTCCACTCTCATGTATCGTATGTGTCACATTTTTGAGTGCAACAACAAGTAAGCCCAAACACGAACAATCCTAGTTGGCAATATCATTTGAATTATACACATAATAATGACAAAAATAAATGAGGCCTACAAGTGTTAGGATAGAATTTTAAGCCTCGAATTACTTCTCTCAATCTTGACCTAATGAGCTAACTCCCATATTATTGAAGAGAAAGGGGTGAGTATAACCACTCAGTAAGTAAGGTTCATATAACTTATATTAATATATGTCAATCAATTTAAATGCAAGTGGTAAAGATATCATTCTCAAATAATTTAACATATTCAAGAATACTATTCATATTTCTCATTCATAATAGCATATACTCACAAGATAATGACTTGTAATACAATTTCACATGGACATAAGACTAATCACATAATTTTTATCACTAGGGTCACAATATAGACAACTATGTGTCCCTTTATCACTATATGTATGATCACATTTTCCTTATATCCTCTTTATGCCTTTAACATGAAATCGTGGGCTATAACATATTGGGATCGTCTATGAACTGAGATTATCCTAGCCATTCACATATGAGAGGCTACCCGACTAAGGTTGCCTATCTCGCTTATGGTTTATGGTTTTCCCTAATTCTCACACTGTAAGGTGTTATTCTCCCTAAACTAACTTCCTCATATAACAAGTGAAAAACTAGTTGGGTTTGACTCTCTCATTGAACAAGTAGGGCAATCCCTTGTCAAATAAGTGGGATGATATATATAAATAAATCTAGGCAAACTATTGAGCTCCAATGATAGCTTTACCATGTGGATTTCAACACATTATTTCTCTTCTTAAAATTCCCACCTCTCATAATCATGTGGTGCATAAATGTAATATCGTATAGCATTCAAAATTACATAATGTTTATGCATGCTTAATATCATCATCATACTCATATTACATATGTCCATCACATAGACACATCTTAACAAATCATTAAACTCTACTTTGCTTTGCATTATTGAACTCCTCTCATACATTTTTCATTGAACTCCACAAACTATATCTTTGGACTCCATTCAAAGACACATAATCATCGAACTCTATTACATATAATCATATTTGATTTTCAAAATATTTTACATTTGCATTTCAAATAATTTCACACACCCCAAGTATAACATTTTTTTAAACAATAAATCAATTAACACACAAAAGCATAAGAAAGAATTTCCTCTAGTTACCTCAAACCTTTGAGAGATTAAAGGTTTACCCCTTAAATTCACACTTCCAAAACTTCTCAAAGCTTAAATGGTGTCAAATATGCTTACTCTACATCTAACCACAAATTAGTTATTAATATCCTTTTTTGAATAATTTTCACTAACTAGTTTAACACATCTTCACTCTTAAGGTTCAATCCCTTCACATACAAGGGTACCCATAGAGTTTTTTAGGTTTCTTTAACTTTCGTTAACCTCATTGAACTTCCAACTAGCCATTAATGGAGCTATATTACTCCCAACCACCTCATTTATGGTGGAATTAAGGGTATTTATTACCCCACAACTACCAAAACTTACAACACCATAAATGTTAGGTTTAAATAGTTTAAACAACTCTCATTAATTCTATTCAAGTTAATGGGTATGGACTCATAGCCTTTATGGATCAAAAATCATCTTTCCCAACCTAACCCTAACTCCTAACATCAAGAAAATGAAGGAGAAAGAGAGGGAAAGAGTTTAGGAACCTTACATTAAGTATTTAGAAGCTCTAAGACACTCCCAATGCTTTGATCCTTCAAGCCCTAGCAAAGCTCTTTCATTTCTCCTTTGTTTCCTCTCTATTTTTGCATATGATACACTTTAGTTCTACAGAATTTGTACTATGCGTTGTGGCGCATGGCGCATGGTACACAGAGTGATCTCTTGCTTCCTGGTGGCTCGTATGCTGTGGCTTCTTGTGTATACACCGTAACATATGGCACAAAGTCATTTTTTTTTCGTTTTTCTCACTTTTTGATGCTCCGGGTAGTTTGACTTTACTTCAAACTCAATTATAAGGCTCAAATTACAACCCATAACACCTATTAACTCTTTGTAACTACATATTACATTAATTTACTTAATAAATCTTCATTTATTAAACTAATTAAGGGTTAAATTCTCCAGGATGTTTTAAAAATTGTTGCAAAATATTGAAATACTAGTGCAAGTATCATTATTATATTAGTTGTATGATTTGGTTGGCCAATGATTAGCTATGTTGAATTATACTATTGCCCATTGATTAATGTCAAAGTAGGGTTTTGATGGCTATTATGTGTTTGAAATGTATGTGTACAAATATAATTGCTTTATTAGGTGCATTACAATCCATTTAAGTTGGCTCAAATGGTTCCCAAGTTATTAGCATTTGGTTTGGGGTTTTGGGCATGTTTTGAAAGGAAAAGTGTTTTCATGCACTCAGGTGTCTAAACTTTGAATGGCAAAGTATTTTGATGTAAAACTAGTGCTAATAGTTAGGTGGCTCAATTAGCTACGTGTAAACACTTGAATCACTCAAAATAGACGTCAAATGGAGAAACAATGCACTCCAAAATTTGATCCTGGAGTATTATTATGACAACAGGGTGCATCACGGTGCAAGTTACACAAGGAGAATCTTCTCTATGTGCTATCCATCGCGACGGATGACATGTACAAACAAATATTTTTTAATTTCCTTGCCCATTTAAAATTATTTTAAAGTAATATAATCAAATAAAGTTTTATTATTTTTTTTATAAAGTCTCAAAATAATAAATCCATGAAAGTTATGTTTCCAACAAAATTAAAAAAAATTAATTACAATCTTGATTCAGATAATCATACAGTTAGAGGTTTTAGAAATAAGATATTTAAATTTTAAATAGAATACTCATTTTATAATTATATTTTTTATTTATAACTATTTAAATTATTATTCATAATTTATTTTTTAAAAAATTTTATCAAAAGTTTAACAGTCATAAATGTTCAGTTTTAGAAATTTATACTCATTTTTTCTTATTTGATTCTAAAAAATAATTTTATTTAATGGAAATACAATCAACCGGCTCTTATTTCCCCTTTATTGTGCCCGATAAACCTCATAAACCGAAAGACCTCGAACCGCGCCGACGTAACTTCGATCCATAAAGGCTCGGCTAGTCGTCGCCGCAATCGTATTTTGGTAATTGACAACGCTGATAGGGTTCGAAGATTTGCAATTAGAGAGATAGAGGGATCCATAAGGAATTGCAGATAGAGATTGGTGCGATCTATCTGCTTTGTGGGAAATCGGCCCTTGATTGTTTCAATCATATAGAGAAGTTGCGGGAAATCAGAAGCAATGACGACCGCAGCTCGACCTACCTGGGCACCTGCTAAAGGTGGCAACGAACAAGGTGGCACGCGAATATTTGGTCCCTCGCAAAAGTACTCATCCAGGGACATCGCATCCCATACCACCCTAAAGCCCAGGTAGGTGTTTTTTTCTTTTTTGCCCTATATAACTGTGCTTCTATATTTATTACCCTTCTTCATGTTTTGGTCTCTTGAAATTGAAAAGAAATATGAGGAATTAGTACCGAGTTTCATGATCAGGATATCTCGTCCTGTTTGTGTCGCAATATGGGTTAGGTTTCCACGCAAAAGGGATTGTTGAATCTTTATTCGATTGTTGAATTTTAGTTGCTTGACCAGTTAATATGCAATTGAAACAGGAGTATATTTATAGAAAGATTGTTGCTAGTGGACGGGTTCCGATTATTTTGTGAGACATATATTTCAATTCGAAGTACTGATATTGATATAGCAGTCATGGAAGTTCAATAAAGATGCTGATTTCAATCATTGCAATTAGTTTTTTGTCTACAGAAAAAAGTATGTAACGTTTTAATCAGAGGCTGGGCAAGGAAATTGGCTCTAGATATTTTTGTCCATGCAGCCAAAGGTGCTTGGGCGCTAAAGATGTCTAGCGCTTCTCACATGGCTTTTGTCTCCTCATTGATGGGAGGGCGTCATCTTAGGCGCCTTACTCATATAGTCATCTGAAATAATCAACTTACAAGTTTAGGTTCAGAAATTATAGAACACAAACCTGGATAGTCCAACCCGACCTATAGCTTGTCATTTCTTTTTATTTTTTATTTTTAATTTATATGTTGAACTAGCACTGATCAGTGAACGTTATATGGTGTTTCTGCATCTCCTTTACTGATATGTCATCCTCAACAGAAGGAACTTTAAGTGTTTGTTTTTTCCCTTGTTCTTCCCCCCTTCTTTGATGCGTAAGAGGAAGACCATTATATACATTTAGTTGACCTTACATATGTTATGTGATAAGGCAGCTCATTGCGATGCAAATGGTGTCCCACCCCCTTCCTTGCCCCCCCAAAAAAAAAAAAAGTTATTTTCTCTGAAATCTGAATAACAAATGTATTCCTGCCTTGACAGGAAAGAAGGGCAGGACACACAAGAGGAATTGCAAAGAAGGAACCTACGTGATGAACTGGAAGAGCGTGAGCGGAGGCATTTCTCATCAAAAAATAAATATAATGGTAAAAAGACCATCTTCAATTGTTTTCTAAATTTCACTGTATTTGTTTTAGCAAATTTTGACTATTTTAATTGTATTTCATGGGGTTTGACAGATGACAGGGATCGTGGGAAAGGAAGCCATCTTTTGTTGGAAGGTGTTATATTGATCTCTTTATATTTATTTATAATCATAATTAGATATTTGTGCATTCTTTTTTTATGGAAGGGGGTGATAAGCTAATATGATGTATAATTTAGCTCGTGTTCAATCTTTTAAGTTAATGGGATTTTGTTTTTACAGGAACTAAGAGAGAAACTGAAGATCGCATTGTTCCACGTAGTGTAGATGCAGATGATTCTGATATTGATGTCAAGAGTGATGATGAGAGGTTGGTAATCTTGTGTTTTTTTTTTTTTTAGCATTATCACTTGCTTCCTGTTGTTAATTGTTATTTTCATGGGCATTTTGGATTTCTTTAGTACAATGTAAGTTATTTGTGGACTGCTAATGAAATTGATTGAGCTTGATTTCGTATATAAGCTTATATAAACGTAAAGATATAAAATATCTATTTGAAACTATTTTTATTTCCTTTTTTGAAATAACAGGTTATTTTTATGTATTTCTGCACTTGGTTTTGATCTTCAAATTGGCTTCCTGTATTTTGGTTTTTTGGTCAATTGAAGCGATTTATGTTGATACTTTGGATAAAAACAAGTGAACATTACACATTCTTTGTTTGTTTGCATGTTTATCAATTGGATAATAGAAAATCTCTTGAACTTCATAACTTTTTTGGTCAGTGATGATGACGACGAGGATGACGAGGATGACACTGAAGCTCTTTTGGCTGAGCTTGAACAAATAAAGAAGGAAAGAGCAGAGGAAAAGCTCCGAAAGGTGAGGCTGTTCTTTTCCCATTCAAGTTATGCTATTGAACCTTGCAAGACATGCTGCTGTTTTGTTACTGTGCTATAAATGAATACAGTGGACAACTATGTGGATTGAACAAGTGGCTTGGGGTTATGCAATGTCATTATCTTGAGATTTAGCAACTCGCATTTACTGTCAATTATTTCTTATGGATTTTAGTTCGAACCAAATGTATGTTGTTCTTGTGCAGGAACGACAACAAAGAGAGGAAGAGTTGAAAGTAAAGGAGGCAGAGCTTCTGCGTGGAAACCCATTACTAAATAACCCAACAACAACATCTTTTAATGTGAAAAGAAGGTGGGAAATCTGAGATTTAAACTAAAAATGAATCCATAGATTTCTTTTCTTTTCTTTTCTTTCTTTTTTTCTTTTTTTGTGTGTGTGGTTTATTGTCTTGATCTCATTTAAGTTTTGTGTGGATTTTTGTGGACTTAGGTGGGACGACGATGTTGTATTTAAGAACCAAACACGAGGTGAAACCAAGACACCCAAGCGATTCATCAATGACACCATCAGGAATGACTTCCATAGAAAGTTCCTGCAAAAATACATGAAGTAAATCATCGAGGCACCAGCCACCGTGTAGCCTGGGGCAATGGTGAAAAAAAGTCAGTGATTTACAGCGATTGTGTATTTCAATTTGTGACTCACTCTGGATGAATATAAGAATATTGATATTTGCAGAGCATCAACTCAGTTGCATCAACCTCTTGTATGCTAGGGTATTTCTCATCTCCCCTGTTTGTTTAAACTTCTGATCTGTAATTCGTACCACCGTTTGTTCATTTTTTTCTTAACGAGAAAACAATGCATCTGGTGATCAACCTTCCGTGGAGACTAATTAATTTGAAAATATATAATTGTTGCTCCTGTATTTTTAGTATATTTTAGTAGTTAGTTCTTGTACTTTTTTTTTTTTTGAATTCTTGGTCTTCTATTTTTCATTTGTTTGTAACGATAGTCTTTATTGTCATTAATAGGGTTTACTTTATCTTTCTATCCTAGCTGTAATGTCTTTTTTGCTCTTAAAATTTTGCCTGTAGCTTGTTTAAGGATTTGGATTTAATTTTTTTTCCTTCTATTTATTTTTTATGCAAATAATTATAATTTCAGTAAGTCAGCATGAGAAATAATGGAGTTTATGTTCTCGTTAGTCACTGTTAAGTCTTTAAGATTATATTTAAAAATGGAGATTAATGTTGCATATGATTGAAATTAAAGGGAATAGGAGTAAGAATAACAATATAAAGACTAATATCAAAATATGCTAATAAGAGTCAATAATTATCTTTTTCTTATTAATTTCCTCCTCTTCAATTCTTGTTTTCCCTATGATGGTCAGTATAAGGCTCGAGTCCACGGTTCATGATGCACTTCTCAGTTTGGTGAGAACATGCCGATCGACCCTGTAAATCGCCTTTCTATATAAAAAGTATTTGAGGCTAATTGTAAGAACTCATCCTGCTTATAATTGGCAATTCAAAACGTGGACAGAGAAATTTAATTTTTCTATAGAAGTTAAAAAACAACAACAACAACAACAACAACAAGCCTTTATCCCACTAGGTGGGGTCGGCTACATGGATTGCAAGACGCCATTGTGCTCTATCATTTATTAAGCTTTTAGAAATATTATTAATTAAGAGATCACGTTCAACAACTTCCAAGAGTGTTCTCTTAGGCCTTCCTCTACCTCTCTTAATCGGACTCAAAGTTATATGTTCTACTCTTCTCACTGGTGCCTCCCTTGGCCTTCTTTGTACATGCCCAAACCATCTCAACCGATTTTCTACCATTTTTTCCTCAATAGGTGCCACCCTCACTTTTTCACGTATGTGCTCATTTCGAATTTTATCTTTACGTGTATGTCCGCACATCCATCGTAACATTCTCATCTCTGCTACTCCAACTTTATGCTCTTGCTGTCCCGTTAGAGCCCAGCATTCACTACTATATAACATTGCCGGTCTGATAGCGGTACGATAAAACTTTCCTTTAAGTTTATTAGGCACCTTACGGTCACAAATAACTCCTTTAGCTTTTCTCCAATTAAACCACCCAGCTTGAATTCTATGTGAAATATCTCCACTGATTTCGCCATCATTTTGAATAATGGCTCCCAAATATCTAAACTTTTCCACTTGAGGTATAATTTGATCTCCCAATTTCACTTCCAAATTATTGAGGTATAATCAGAAGTTAAAAACATAAAAAAGAATTTACAAGTTTGATCTATTGAGAGAGGCGAGTCCTTTATAACTTGAAAAATTAATATTTGAATAGTTGATAAATGAGGTGTCCTCATTTAATACCAATCGTATCTTAAAAAAAAAATTATTTTCAATATGAAAATATTCATAAACAAGCTAAAAAAAGCACTTTGGTGTGCCTTTATAGAGTTACTGATATTCTTTTAAGCCAACAATTTAATCTTAAAAATTTGGTTATGCCCAGCTATGTTTATTTTCTTTGTCATTTTTAAGTCTAAATTTAATCTAATTGAAATATTGTAAAATAGATGTATGTTCTAGGGAAGATCCAACTCCATAAACACACCAAAACTTGTACATTGATTATATTAATAATCCATAAATAATCAATTATCAATGCCAATTCATAACAAATATAAAAAAAAAATTACTAAGTTATATTGACAAAAATAAATAGTATTTTACATAATTATGGTGAGTGCGATGACAAGATAAACCTTTTTCCTTATTTTTTTTTAAACAAGTGTACTACTGTTTACTCGCAGTTCATGTTGTTTATATTCTACTCTTCTTTTGTTTAAGTGTAAATAGATTTAAGTAAATGTGAGAAGTTGCATATAAAATAAAGTTGGATTTACTAATATATAATAAAAAAAAAATTTATAAGACCAAGTTTTAAAATTTTAAATTAAGACATAACATTCTTTTATTTCTGTTGTCTGTCTCTTTTCTCCATTCATTTTTCGAGGCGATCGCTCATCATTTATAACATAATAATGTAAATGATGTTTGCATACTTAGATGTATTATAAAAGCATTAAATATCAAACACTATATTCTAATTAAGAAGACAAACACACGGGGGATCCGTGGGGAATTTCGTGTTTCAAAACTCAAGAGTAACAACAAAATAGAAGGGGTCTCACTTTCAGATAGGAACGAATTTTTGTGGCGTGTAAGAACAATTTGGTGGGTCCCTCTTGTGGAATAAAAATATATATGTGGTGAGTGGAGTATAAATACAAAAATATTATTCATCCCATGCTGGGAAGGGTGGGACCACAATCTGTAGTGGATGCCACCAATCAAATGACCGTTTGAGCCAACACGTAGATCAATTATTTGCAAGAATATAGGCGATAAATTAAAATATCGTCGCATTATACTACTCCCTCCGTCCAATTTATAATTTATAAGAAAAATTTGGAGATATTTAGTTAACTGAAAATATAAAATAATTCAATAAAAATAAAGTTTTATTGATAATTTTTTTTAATAGTACGTAAAGAGACAATTGAAATGATGATAATGTATATATGTAAAATTATATTAAATGAATGAAATTTTTAAAAGTTTGTATTTTTGTTTGAAAAAATAAATTTGTAAAGTCTTTGAAATTTATTTGTATATATAATCTTGTCTCATTGTCTTATAATTTGATATCTGGGTCATAATTAAGAATCCCATCTCAGATTTGTTAATTACGTTTCAAAGTGGATTACAAACCATCAAATTAGTGTTCCATGCAATTTCTATTATAAAGTACCTCTACTTAACTCAGCAAAATTAAGAAGAGTTGATTATGTCATTAACTTTGTTTGAAAGTAGAATAAACTTTCAATTTTACTTCTATTTAAATAAAAGTTTTTTAACTTTACATTACATTTTCTTTTATAGATTTTAAGTTTAAACTTTAAATAAAAGTAATATTTGAAAAAACATAATTAATAACCCAACCAATACCTTATGTTAAAGATTGAAAATTCTTTTTATGAGATGTCCTGTAATAAAGACCGGTGCTAATTAAATTACAATTAGTCTCAGATACGTTAGTCCACTGTGTGGCACCTTAATAATAAAATTACCTAATTTTGACCCTTTAGCCTCCAAATTCAATAAAACGCACTCTGGGTTCACTACTTGATTGAATGACTCAATGAAGAATAAAAAATTAAAGTACGACACAAAGAAAATCTCAAAAAAGACACAGTAACAAGGTTGAAATTTGGTGCTGCCAGAAATCACGAGGCAAGATATAGGTTCGTAGCTAGCTAGGTTGCAATGTGATATATATATATATATCCCAGAAGGTAATGACCCACATGTGTAATCTTTTTGCGCAAATGCCAGCCTATCAAAGAAAGATTAGCCATATATTTAACTAAAAAGCGATAAAAGTAACCGTTGGAATGGCTAATCTTCTATGACATAAAATTGGAACATATGCCTACAACCATGTGTGTGTGTGTATAACTGTCACAGTGTGTCTCTTTCTTCTTCTTGTATTGTACTGTTACTCTCTCGTCGAATGTATATATAATATACATCTCATACGCTCTCTACTAAATCTGATCCTTATGGCTTTTCCTTGGCCTCTCTCCTTCTCTGTTCAACTGCTCTTTGTTTACACTTTCTCATTGCATGCACTATCTGCAACGGTCACACAACGGGTGGGACCCACCGGTAATCGTGTGATCACCGTCGATGTCAACGGAGGAGGGAACTTCCGGTCGGTCCAAGCCGCCGTTGATGCTGTCCCAGACAACAATAGAGTGAACGTCACTATTCAAATCAGCGCCGGATACTACATGTAATATATATTTATATATATATATATATAAACGCACAGTTAAGTTGGTTACTAGTATGGTTCTGATCTTCTTCTGGGTGAGTGTTGATTTGCAGAGAGAAAGTGGTCGTGCCGGCGACCAAGCCGTACATTACGTTTCAAGGAGCTGGGAGGGAGAAGACGGTGATAGAATGGCATGATCGAGCCAGTGATCTCGGACCCAGTGGACAACAATTACGTACTTACAGAACAGCTTCTGTGACTGTTTTTGCCAACTTTTTCTCTGCGAGGAACATCAGCTTCAAGGTACGCACTTAAACCATTCAGTGTCATAGGTATACATATCAGTGACTTCACGTAGATAATTATAGTATACGGATTCTCTTCTTGAATATGGTTTAACAGTTTAACTAGTGGACGACAATCCAAGTGAGTTCATATTTGAAGAAACATCGTAAGTACGTCATGCATTAACTATCTCTCCTCTTGTACAAGATCCTAGGATCTTGTTGAGTATTGGCTCCTGGTTTGAATGCCTCTTTAGGTGGACCGAGCTAACTTGGAGAGCCAGAAACCATGCATATACTTGGAAACAGTAGGAATTTAGAGTCCAAAAACATACATCTAGTGACGATAAACGTAGGAATCGGGTTACAATTACTAATCTCGGATAAGTTGCATTGTAGATACAACCTTAGAGACAGGGGGTGAGGGAAGCAGAGGGAGTATTTTCTATTTTCTTTAACGGGAGAATAACATTCAAAGCAGAATTTATTACAATAAATTCATTAGTTTTGCATCACATATTGTCTTATAAAAATACGTTTATATTGTTGCTAAAAGCTAAACTTTGTTAAATTTTTAAGAAAATCTTAAAAAAAGTACAAGTTAAAATTTGGCTTTTACCTTTAATATATATGCGTTTAAAAAAAAACAATATTCGGTACAAAATTAAATGGCCCTTACTACAAATTTTTTTTTTTTTTGAGATGGTGTTAAATGTCATTCTCCCTTCTTTAATTATATGTCAACATTGAAAAACCCCACACCCCATATATTACAATCATGATATTTAAGTAGTTACAATAACTGCTTGGTAAAACTAATATCCTGATTATTTAATTAAATGAATAATTATTTAATCCCAATTTGAGCCTCTTCTCACTTCACCCAATTCATCAAAGGTGTAATTGAACAAAGACAATAATTCTTGTTCAGATCTATTACTACTCATCAGTGTTAATTTTAGGACAAAGTTTTGATTCTGAATATATAAGGTAAAAATGTGGTGGTTAATTTTTTTTTCTCTTCAACTTTATCCCCCTTGATTGCAACAAGTTGTTGGCATAATCTTAATTTCCATACACCACTTCATTATAGACATTAATTCCAGTGAAGAACCAAATTGAAAAGTTATATGTACTATTATGAGAGTTCAAAATATCAACTATCATCCTATAAAATCATGAAATTAATTAATTTTACCTTATATATAATTAAAATTGAAAGAGTATAACGTGATATTGATACGTAAGAAGCATAGTAGCTAGAGGTGTTGTGAAGTTGAAGTGGATTCATCAGTTTTGGGGCGGCGTTGTGGCTGCAGAATACAGCGCCGGCACCGATGCCGGGAATGGAGGGGTGGCAAGCGGCGTCGTTTAGGATATCAGGGGACAAAGCGTACATGTTGGGATGTGGATTCTACGGAGCACAAGACACTCTCTGCGACGATGCTGGACGACATTACTTCAAGGATTGTTACATCGAAGGTTCCATTGATTTCATCTTTGGAAATGGCAGATCCATGTACAAGGTACCTATATACTCTCATTGGACTTTGTTGAAGGTGTTCGGAACATAGTGGGAAACTAAATATAAGCATTGATCTTTTGACAAATATTAGTTCACCACAATAAGTGAAACTAGCACATTCCGCTCTATTAAAAAATAATATGTACTCAAGTATCAAATATGGATAATTAAAGTTTCATAAGTTATTACTTTCTCAGTTTAAAAATGTAAAGTATTTTTAATTGAATCTCACCCTCAATAAAATAGTTATATATTTTCAAATTAATTATATTTTTTTATATTTTTTCATACTTATCCTTATTAAATACCTTATAATAAATAAAAAGTCATTATCAATAGTGACACTTTAAAAAAAAGGTAATAATTACATCTTGAAAAACTAAATATATTTTACATTTTTTAACATTTAATTATTTAAAAAATACCTTATATTTTTAAACGGGGGGAGTATTATTTTTCAACATCATAGATTATAGTCCTCCTCTCTTTTGGTTATAATTAACTTTAATTCCCTTCACTTCCCAATTATGTAACCTTTTCTCCATCAAAACACATGTAAAATATTAGAAAATTAAGTGGTAGTTTAATTTTAAAACATATTGATAATAATATAGGGATAATGACAGAGAGATCTCAAAAAGACTAATTAATTCAAGTTAATTAGGTTCCAAGTCAAGAATTTGCAATACAATTTCTTAATTTTATAACTCCAATGTGATGAATTTACAACTTTTATTCTAAATTTTAATAAAAAAATAAATTATTTTATTCTTTAACCATGTTAAAATTTAAAAAAAAAATTATAAATTTATCACAAATACAATTATAAAATTGAGAGATTGAATTATAAATTTTTAAAGTTTGACATTTGATACTTAACTTAAATTAATTGATTATTTTAGGACCTTTTTGTCATTATCCCAATAATATATTCTTGAGGAAAATATATAATTTTTTAAAACCGCATTTGGGATAAGCTAAAATTTATTTCATTTAAAAAAATCAATTTTGGCCATTATTGACTTGCTACTTTGAAGGGTAGAATTATCCAATCAAAATTTATTTTCAAAAAAATTATTCAAACATCCTCAATTTTATTAAAATTATTTTTTAAAAATTTATCCAAATATCATCACATTCTAATAACAAATTTTTTGAATTGAAATTCAAACACATCCATAGGTTATAGTCCTCCACCCTTTTGGTGATAATTAATTTTAGTTCGCTTCACTTCCCAATTATGCAATCTTATCCCTGTCAAAACATCTGTAACATATTAGAGAATTAAGTGGTAGTTTACTTTTAAAACATACTGATAATAATATATTCTTGAGGGAAATACATAATTTTTTACAACTATTTGATGCGTAACATTACAGATCATGAGTAATTTTATAAAGTTTGTTTATAGTTAGGCTTTAAAGAAAACAACACAGTATCATTTTTTTTTTCTCCTTAATTTCACGAAGCTCAAACCCGCGATTTTACTTAAGGAGGTTCAAGTCATTCCCACCCTAAGGAAATTATATGTGATTTTTAATAATACAAAACTATAAACATCAATCCTCTTAAAAATAGTACGCACATTTAGCTTTGGTGTGGATGAAAGAAAAAATAAAAAGAAAATATGAAAAAGAGTAAACTAAGACGAGAATTTTTTTAAAAAATAGTAATTTTTTTTATTTTTAAGAATTTGTTCCTCTTTATTATTTTCCTCTTCATCCAAATGAAGAGTTAATATTTGATTGTGCCTTTAGAGAACAGTGCCTATGTGTAATAAAAAAAAAAAAACCACACACATAAATTAATATTGAAATTTAAAAATCATGTGTAACTTTTTTTCCTGGTATAAAAATCACGTGTAATTAATATCACAAATGTACTGGTAAAAATAAAGCATTAATATCACAAATAGTGGTGGTGCAGGATTGCGAGCTGCACTCTATAGCAACAAGGTTCGGGTCAATAGCAGCCCAAGGTCGAAAGAGCTCAAATGAGAAGACAGGCTTTGCTTTTGTAGGATGCAGAGTGACGGGTACTGGGCCAATTTATGTGGGCCGAGCATTGGGCCCATATTCAAGAATCGTTTACGCTTATACATATTTCGACGACATTGTCGCTCATGCTGGTTGGGATAATTGGAATCACGACCAAAACAAAAACAAGTAAAAAGCCCCATCCCTCGCTCTCTCCCTCAATGTATATATATATATATATATACATATATTGTAATCTATGCTTATTTCTGTGTTTCTATCTGCACATTCAGGACAATATTCTTTGGAATTTACAAGTGCTGGGGCCCAGGAGCCACATCATTGCAAGGGATCTCATGGGCCCCAGAGCTAGATTTCAAATCTGCCCATCCATTTCTCGCCAAGAGCTTCATCAATGGTAGACATTGGATACCAGCCTCTGATGCTTAGTCTAATAATAATGTGTGTTAGTGTGTCTTTGCTAGCATCTCTGTACCTGTTTAGGACTAAATACTACAATAGGCTTCATATCTTCTCATTACACACATTTTTTATTCTAACTTTCCTGTCTATTGATTTAATGGAGGGGAAAAAAAAATACAAATAGGTTTTAAATAAAAGACTTATTACTAAAAAAGGTAATGAACTAAACTCTTCCAAAGGAAGGAAGTGGGGAGCAGCATAAGAGCCCACTTTGCCAAAAGATCAGCTTCAATATTGTCCTATCTTCGAATGGATCAAAGGTCTCTAGAGTCCAATCTCAATAAACTATATGATGGCACTCAAGGATTAGATCCCAATTGTCATGCATGTCAAACTATACATGCAATAAGTTAAATTATACAAATATATTTTCAAGCTACTGAAATAGTTAGACTATAAATGCATAAAAGACTACATATATAATTGAAATGAAAATTCTATCCAGTGTCTCAAGGCTTTTATAATATATTAACTTAAAGGGGCCGAAAATATATAACCCTTTATTTCACTAAGAAAAAAAAAAAAAGTTAGGGGGGCCATAGCTCCTGCTGATCCACCTGTCTCCACCCCAAATTATTCCCATCTCTAATTAAATTCATAGCTTCTAAAGAATCACTTCTCAAGCTCACATTTATGTGCCCTTCATCCCAATTTTTTCAGAGACCAATAAGACATGCTTACAGTTCAGCCACGAGAGAATCTACCCCCAGGATTCTAAACATGAAAAACTTCCAGTAGAGTCATGAACTCATGATTGTCTTTCATAACACCCACACAGCTCGTAGCTATATTCAGATGAGAGTAAGTCCCATCCACCTGGTCATTAACTCAACCTTCTTGCATCCTATTAAGGATTTCACACCTCCTTCATGATACCTTGAATATTAACTTGTTTCAGATTGAGGCGTGCCTCATTGTAACCCAACACAACATAGCTTTGACTTTGGAATAAATTTGATGACAGACATAATCAATATTTTTGAAGTGTTTTTCATTCCTCTGTTTTTCAAATAAGCCAACACATAACAACAAAGACCTCCTAATATTCTTCATCTTGCCCCACAACAGCATTGACATTCAAATAACATCAATTCCGCAGTTTGGAATTACTAATTGAAGGCTTGGTTTGATGATAGAGATCCACAAAAATTTAATTTCCTCACAATCCAGAAGGACATAAAGAGAATTTTCTACATCATGATTACACCGAATAAAAGAGGTCAAAACACTCATACCTCTATTCATTCTAGCTTCATTTGTCATAAGCTTATTATGGAAAGTTAACCAAATGAAGGACTTGTACTTTTGAGGAATTTTCAATTTCCAGACTCCATTAAAATGTTAAAATGCAGTAAAATCTTAAAGTCCTCAAGTGTCATTTATGACAAGTGCAAAAAAAACAAAAAAAAACAAAAAAGAAATCGTTACTTGACATACCTTTTGATTTACAAGCCAACTTTCTAAATTTACTAGTTAACTTCTTAAATTTACATGTTCAAAAATACTCAAGTCTACTTATAACTATAATAGTTTGACTCATAAATTTAGAAAGTTAATTTGTAACTTGTCACGAGCAGTTTCATTTTCTTGCACTTGTCATAAATATAATAGTTTGACTCATTTCCTTGCAGTTTAAGATCTTGAAACTTCATCATTATTTAACAAATTCATGAAACTTATTAGGAAATAAGTCTCTTATTTGGAGCCCATCCATAATTTTTCCTAAATTTAAATCTCCATATCCAAAAGCTGCATTAATTATTAAACTCAAAATTGAGTCAAGTTGAAAGTTCTAGACAGATTATCTTACTTCTTACTTAAAGGGAAACAAATTTCGCTCTGCACTAATTTTTTTCTATTCACAAGATTCAAAATCAAACCGTAGGCATATATACAAATATCTACTAAGTCTATAAGAAATGGAGAAATTTCAGTTAAAAAGGCAATACTTTCAAAGAATCGAGACCATTATTTGTAGACTTACCACCTTGGTTCATAGAAAATGATTCTATACAAGCGCTCTGAAACTGTTCCTTTTTGATCCTGTCCCCTTCTATGCCCATGTAAACTTAAAACTGTAAAATGACAGGAGGCTACAGTATGATTTCCTCATTACTTCAAAAACTTAGTGGAAAAAAACTTCTGCTGCAAAACAATCCAATTTTCCTCACAAAGTGATAAACGATATCCTTAAGGATCTATTAATCATAGACGTGATACAAGGCCCCATAGACCTTCACATTATAGAACAGTTTGGCTGAGATTCGAGCATTTCGGGTGATCTGCAAAAAAAAAGGGGGGGTGACATCAGTTAATACGCCCACATTTAACAAGTATTACAGCAAAAGATTTGTAACAACGAACTCTACACACTACATCATTATATACTCCAAAGAAGACAATAAACTAATGAAATTGATTTCGGCACATCAGAGATTGGTATCTGTGAGAGAGAACTTAGTATCAGATTATCAATTCAAAAGTAGAACTGTATAATTACGGGAAGACTACACAGGATACTTGAATTTTCATGAGCAATTCACCCCACATTTTGGACTGTAAGCCTGTAACAAGTTCTTTCTTCTTCTTTTTTTCTTTAAAAAAATAGATTGATATCAACATTAATATTAATATTCAACATAAAGTATAAGATTTATAGCAAATTGTTCACAAGGATTGTAAAAAGTGACATAATTTTCAACACCATGCATTCCACAAGGCCTACTTAGTGGTCAAAGTATTACAAAATAGTTCAATTAAGTTACCCGTAACAACTGATTTTAATAACCTAAATGATAAATTTTCTTCTTGTTGATTCGTGACTACAGATTCTACAAGGTCAAAAGTGTCACCAAACCAAGCAAAGAAGCGAACAGTAGAGATATCAAACAGATGCACTATATAATTTTTTTTTTTTTCTTAAACGAAACTTCAGGAAATAAGTAGTGCATTCTTATAGTACAAGATAAATGCTACAACTGAAAAATCTCAGGGTCAGCCATACACGGACTTAAGTTGAGGTTTTCATGTTTCTAAAAAGATGCAAATGTGACTTGAGGACTTGTATAATGAAGGCAAAAGCACTCTTTCGCCGTCAACTTTAGGGGCAAGTTTCATTTAGCCCAAATGCCTTAACCTTACTGAGTGGAAAACAATGATATTGGGCCTGTTTGATTACATAGTTTCATAACAGTTTTTTGTTTTGATAAAAAAAAAAAGGGAAAAAACCTATTTGAAAATGTGTTTTCCATTATGAATTCAGAAAAAAAAATGTTGTCATGAAGTACTAAAAAACTCGAACATCTTGTAGATGTTTCATTACTTTTTGATCTCCAAAACTAAAGAAGAGTCATAAAATATCACGTTTTCATTAATGACAATTATATTAATAAAATAAATTATTCTCTCACCTTTTATTTCACTAATTTAGATATATTTTCAAAATAATAAATCAAACAGATATTTTCATTTTTTATTTCCAAAACTTGTTCTAAGAAACTGCTTTACATAACTGTTTTTTAGAATATAAAAACAGAAAATAGAATCAAACAAGCCCATTATTGCTCCCTGAAAAAAGAAAGAAAAGAAACAGCATAGTATGAGAGCAATGGAAGGAGAGCTTTGGGTGAAAGATGCAACATGGAATCATTTTTTGCTACCATTGCTAAAAGATGGACTTGGTACTTAAGAAAATAATGAAACTTTTTAAAAGATGCAACCTGAAATTCAGTCAAATACATTAGTTTGGGATGAAATTGAGGCTTGACTTGAGAAAATTGGAACTAAAAAATCAATCAATGCATGTTTGAAAATGGATACTGGTCTGAATTTTTAATTTTAAGTGCTAAAGCTAATTGCTGCAGTGCAATGGAGACCAACAAATAGAAGAAGCTTCCATTTCCAACAAACTGCAGACTAAGCACACTTACAGCTGGCCAAGACTGTTCAAATCAAAATCAGGAGCAAGCTCTTGAACAATGTCACTAGGTGGCTGTCCACATTCTTGCATTTTCTGCATGAGCTCAAAAATCTTGTTGAAATTTCCAGGATCTTTCTCATAAACTTCATTAAGATTCTGTATCAGCTCATACTGTTGTGAATAACGTTCAGATTCTTCTTTGCTTAGGCTACTTTTATGCTCTTCCAGCCACTTTGGATATCTTTCACCTATCTCTTTCATTGGTTCATGAAGAATCTCCTTAGATAGAAGTTGTTGCATCATGGTCTCCACGATAGAATCCATGTCCTACACATGTCAATAAAATTAATGTCCTAATTCTGAACAAAAATGTTACAGTGTTATTATGATGGTAAGGAATAACAGATGAGTACAAAAAGAGATGAAGCAGGGATCACATAGTTAGCGACTAAGATATAATAGAATGGGTTTGCCAGCATATGGGGACACACTACATGGTGAAAGCCCTGTTAGAAGAAACAAAATGGCATTGAAGAGAAGACTCATATAGTAATATCCCTTCTTAGATAAAGAAGGAAAGATTTCCAGGTTTCACTGTTTGCTTCAGTCAGATATCATATACTGATTGCTTTGACAAGTGAACCTGAGAAATATGTGCATGAATATAGCTGAATCTCCCAAGTCATATATGATTTCCTCTGCTATCATGAATGGAATTCCCAACTTGTGCACTTAATAATTAATCAATTCTTCCAGATAAGCTCATCACTATTACAATACAAGGGAAGTGAGAGCTAGTAATTAAATGTGATAACCCTCAATTTGAATCATTTGCAATCACAAACATACACATTTTAACATATGGTATAAGTAAAGGCAATTCATTTGGAATAATTATTTTATACCTCCAAAAGGCACAGAAAGACAAGAAGAATGCTTAAGTAGGAAGGTCAACAGTCCAAAGATTCAACAGCATGTAATGTAAAAATACAATAAGTAATGCCAGCTTTAACTATTCGATCCAAGTAATGCAATGTACTGTAGTTTAGCAGAGCCCTCCCAAGTGAATAAATAAGCCCGAGGTGTTACATAAGAATTAGATTATGACAAAGCAAAAAACAGTTCCATATCACATCCTAACTCAAATCTGCAGTGAGTCATGACAACTGCACCCATTTTTATTTTGTCAGTACATGGGAAATTCTAAATGCAATCATAGAGGATGAGTATTAAAGAAATAAAAAGACCATATAGAGACATGAGTCAACAACATCCTTATTGCAATTGTTTCTTCTATTCTCCATGCTAAAGAGTTATCTTTCGAATTTCTAAGCAAAATAAGAATTAATCATATCTACCATAGAAGACACTATACCTTCGGAACATCCAATACAGTAGACAAACTACATGACACATGAGTGACAAAACTTCTCAAATATCCCGTTCATGGACAACAATATTGATCAAATCCTCTAATCTGTACAGTTTCTAATTCTAAAGTCTTGTTCTTTAACATGACCATTAAGAAGAAGCAAATCACACGTGCCTGAAAAATTCATCATTCGTATTCATTTCATAGTTGTAATAAAATTCAAAAACCTCATCTTATCACTCAAATTGCTTACGCTAGCACGCCCCCAATTATCTTATCCAAGATGACAAGGAGGGTTACCTGAGACCCAGCAAGGTCCTCAAACTGCTTCAACCAATCGTCCACAACTGGATCCTTACTCAAATCATCCTCACCAGGCTTCGACCCAGACACAAATTCAAGTCCCTTAACAGCCTCAACTGTCTGCTCTCTGAGTTTGTCGAGCGCCTCCGATACATGGGCATCCTTGGAAACCTTTTGTTTTCCCTTCTTACTTCTCAAATCAGGTAAACCCATGCCCAGTCCTTGAACTCCGGAAGGCAGAGGAGGATAATCCTGTTTCTTCTCAGTTCCTGCTCCAGAACTACAAGCAAAAGAAAGCGAAGATTCAGAAATATAGGCACGAATAGCACGTCATCAACACAAAGGCAGAGCAAAATGAAGAAAATAGGGACCTTTGAAGGGTAGAACTGACGTTCAAGTTCTGGAAATCATCCAAAGCACCTTAAAAAAAATGAGAAACAATCTTTTGAGCCAAAAACGAAATTGGAAGTGTCAGAGATAGGAGGAAAGCAAGAAAGAGTTCATACTATCGAGGAGTTGGTCCAAGTCATCGGCGTGATTGTCGGCCATGGTTTCACGAACCTGGCCTCCCCCTCGTCGAAGGCAAAATAAGGGAGAAGCAAGCTGCAAAATCCTGAAATATCCGGCGGCGCTGCCGACGTGGGACAATATAGCATCTTGGTTTTCGTTAGACGGCAACCAGATCCAATGATTGCGAATTAGCGACTTTGGAAAACAAGGCCATTCAATTCTATTTATAAATTATTTTCATTAATCTTATTAATATTAATATAATAAAAAATAAAAAATAAAAACAAACCATATAAAATTTTAAATATAACTTTAAAATAAAAATAAATAATAATATTATATTATATTATATTATTTTTTATTCTTATCTGTTCTCTCTCTTATTTCTCAAGAATAATTTAAAAATTTTAATTTAAAATAAAATACTTCTATTAATTAATGACTTATAAAATGAACCTACTTTTAAAAGATGATTAATATATAAGATTGAAGGAGTATTTATTAATAGAATTTCTAATAAAAAATGATAATAAATTTTTTTTAAATTATATAAATAATAATATGATCTCTCAAAACATCATACTCCTAATGAAGTCTTTAAAAACCTTTTTTGTCAATAATTTTTATAATGAAAAGACTATTTTATCTTTGCTGAAAATAACAAGCCCTCCAATGACAAATTTTGTTTAGGGATTACAATTTTTGTTCAATAAATTGTAAAAATTGAACAAAAAATTATAATTTATTAAGTATAATTTTTGTATTGAAAAACAAATTTCAATCATAACTTTTATTTAAAAAATTATAACTTTTGTTATATGAATTGTAAAAATTGAATAAGAAATTATAATTCGTCAAGTATAATTTTTATTATTGAAAAATAAGTTTTTAAAATAATAAACCTCATTCACAACTTTTATTTAAAAAATTATAATTTTTTTAAAAAATTATAAAAATTAAATAAAAATTATAACTTATCAATAAAGGTAAAATGATATTTTAAATTTAAAATTTATCAATAAAGAGGTTCCAATAAACTTTGGTGGAATTATCGTATTTTGAAGGATCGAATTATATTTATATAATTTGGAGGGGTATTATTATCATTTTGCCAACTTCTAAACTCTACCATGTGTCCTTAAAAAAAAAAATGCTGCGATTTCACGAAGCAACATCAAATTTTAGTTATGCTGTATAAAATAACTTAATTAATATATTTTGAATTTTAATTTTCTGATATTTTGCCTAATTTTCAGATTCTGTAACCCAATCACTTCAATCCTGACTTTCTAACTTCTTATTTTAAAAAAAAAATATATAAAGAAATTCTTACTGCCGAAATTTTTTAAAAAAGTTAAAAAATTTCAATCTTCATAAGTTAAAGTTATCCGAAAATTTTTCCAACATTATAACTACCGTGGATCTGAAAATTTCTTGACTACCACAACTTCCAGCTTCTTATTTTCAATTTTAAAATTCAATTTAAAAATTAGAATAAATTTTAATTTTCATAACTTCCACACTTAATTATTAAAGGCTACTTCCATTTATAGTTTTCAAGCATTCCTCACTTTTAACTTGGGTAAAGGAATAAATTTGGCCATATATTATTTTTCTAGAAGTATCTGGTTGTCTAAATTATTAGGTGATGTGAAATAAATTATCAACTTTAAAAAAAATGAAGCATTCAATAGCTTCCTCTTAACTTCACCTAATGGACATTATGTGAGGCTCACAATGATAAGTGACATTTCAAAGGCACTTCACATCAGCATGTGTAAAGGTATAAATTTAGTTACGAATTATTTTTCAAAGAACATTGGGTAACCTCTAATATAAAAAACTAACCATCCAAAACCTTCTCATAAAATTTGACTAAACACCATTTATTTTTATACTTATGAGACTTATAAGGCGTTAATCTCCTCAATCTTCTTGCCTTCGTTATCAATTTTAGCTCAAGAAGAAAAGGTTCGAAGAGCGATTATCTAAAGATATGCACGAAGACAATGCCAACAAAGTATAAGAAATAATTCGTGGCTAAATTAAACTAAAATCAAGCTTCTTCTACACGTCATAAAATCAAGCTTTTATTTCATTGGCATCATTCTCGTGAATGTCTTCAGATAAAAACTCTTTGAACCTCTTTTTCTTAAGCTAACACTGAGAACAAAGGTGAAAAGATTGGAGAGATTGACATATTGTAGAGTCATAAGTATGAAAATAAATAGTATTTGGTTAAAATTAAAGGGAAGGTATTGGGTGGTCTGTTTTTTTTTTTTTTAATAGTAGAGGCTATCTAATGCTCCTTAGATAGTAATTTGTGGCCAAATTTGCACATTTATACATGCTGATGTGGAGTGCCCTTGAAGTGTCATGTGTTGTTGTGGGCCCCACATAATGTCCATTTGGTAAAGTCAACGGCGAGCCACTAAATACTCCGCTTTTTAAAATTGATGATTTATTTCACACCACCTGATAGTTTAGGCTACCAAATGCTCCTAAAAAAATAGTTCATGGCCAAAGTTTCTACTTTACCCTTTTTAACTTGAATGTGACTGTCTTTGAATGTTAATAACATATTTTAAATGTGTAAGGTCTCCCTTACTAGTCCATTCTTATTTTTAATACTTTTTGGTAATCATAGGATTGAACCTAAAAAATTACCCTACCATGATTAATCATTTTCAAATCACTTTTTAATTCAATTGTATTCTTTCATAAATTGAGATACTAGTTTTCAAACTATTTAAAATTATTTCCTGAGGATAACAATTAGTCCAAAATAGAGTTCAAGGTAATTGCAGAAGTATGGGATACCATTTTACATAAAAAAAACATTCAAAGAAAATTTAGAAAATCAAGATAGCATGAAACAGAAGCAGGCGTCGCATTGTGCTCCTCTCTATGTAACGTGTTGTGGCGTGCTACATAAAACTGACAGCAATATTGCTGTCATTTAACGGCAATGGGGGCCAACTCCTAACATGCCTCATTTATCCATCTGACATCCGACTGATGCAAAATAAGTGTCTACATAAAACTCTTTTCATACATTAGCTAATGGCACGATCGTACTCCTAAATAATTTCACACAAAGGAGTTGGACATTCAAATTTATTTTAACAATTTTCACATTACTCAAGGTGTCTAAAACCTAACTTTTATGCGAAAAGCTATAACTAATACTTAAAACACACTTAATGGACCCAAGACTGCCTATGCAATAACCATATGCACAAAATAACTTCAATATATTATTTTTAGCTCACAATCCCTTAATATCAAAAACAGATGTGGAAGATCCAGCATTGCATATAACATTATATCTATACTCAAATAGAAATTTTGATTCATTGCAATACTCACATTGAATTTAGGCCTTATAGAAAGTTCTAAAGATGACATAAAAATTTCAGGGAGCAAAAATACAATGAATTAGTCATGTAAATCATGAAGTACAAGTAATTATCAAAATATGTCCCTAATTGGCAATATCGTACTCATTACACAAACTTTAACCTAAAGGAGGAGACTTTACAATAGGAATAACTGATTTCTAAACCTTGTAACTTTTTCCTTTTTGATAACTGGGCTAGAGCTTATAAAATGTTGAGAGAGAGAGAGAGATGTAAGTGCCACCATTTAGTAATTAAGGTTCCTCTATCCTATGCAATTGCTTATTAATTGACACTTTTAAAAACAAAGCACATAAATGAGGCATGTAATCACATATAACACTATTTCACAGATAAGTCATGTTATTCATATAAATCATCATATCTTATCTTTCCATAGGTCAAATCATGAGGCACATTATCACAATACTAACAACTATATGACAATGGCCAAATCAAATATACAATGCACATTGTCACAATAATAACAACCATGTGATAATGACCAACTCCAGTATCACGATTTGCCACAAACTTAACAGCCATATGATATATTAGATAATATGCATGATCAAACTAAATATCCTCCTAATAAATTTTGATTGAAACCATATGTTATCAATTAAATAGGGCTTTATCCATGTGAATGGACTGTCCAAGATCACCAATTATGAGAAGCAACTTGGCCAAGGTCACTACCCTCACTCTTGGACTATCACTTCTCCCATTCTCAAATCCCTAGGGATCGTAAACCCTAAGTTAGTATCCTTGACAAATAGGTGGAGATAACTAGGTTCGAGCCCCTCGACAAATAATGGGATAATTTCTCGACAAACATTGGGACAGTGGCTATTTCTTGATTCTAACAGTAGGTAGCCAGGCTAACTTTTAATTCCAATGATATGCAGCCAATACCACGTGAATTTCATCACTACTCCTCTCTCTATGCAAATTCTCACCAATATGATCATGCAATCACTCATGCTCATATATAGCATGTTATCAACTCACAATAGCAAGCTCATTTTCATATATTCATCAAGCTTTACATGTGAGCATAGTGTGTAATTCCATATCATTCTATCACAATTATCAACACATACGCCTACATATCATCATTGCATCATATAGATATACCATCATAACATTCCATACATCATAAATTCATTTCTCATGCTGTCATCATATATTCACATCATATTGTTTACAATATTGCATTATTACTTTTCTCAAATATGTAACAATTTTTCCCAACAACACATAACTATTCCTTATCATGTTATAATTAAAACTCATCATAGCCTCATTTATGTTTTTCCAAAACATGCTACACATTAGCCAATAAGAAATTTCATCTGTTCTTGCTAATCACATATAATTTAGCAATTTAAATCAATTAACATATAACTATGCAAAATAGATTCTCCCGATTACTTAAAACCTTCGAGTAGTCAAAGGTTTACCCTCTAATATTGCTTCTAAAGCTTGACCTTAAGCCAAGTTCTGTACAAGGGATGATTAATCTATAATTAATCAAATCCACAATCATCAATATTGCCGTTTACAATGTCTTAATTTTCTATTTCAATACTTTAAATATTCCAAAGCCCTTATGTCTAACATTTAAGCCCAGCCATTAGGCTTATTAACTCCCTTTAGCTCTCATGGGCTTCATTAAACTTTCAAACCATCATTAATGGCTCCTAACAAACTCTAACTTCTCCATTTATTTCAAATTTTTAGGCATTAATACCCTCCCAAGTATCAAAACTTTTAAACTTATAAATTTTAGGTTTAGATACCTTAAACAGCTTCTATTAGCTTTATTTGATCAATAGGTTCAAATCTATAACCTCTATGAACTGAAAATTATTTTTCCAACACAAGGTCTGACTCAAAAATCTATAGAAATGGAAGAGAAAAAAATATTAAGAACTTACCTCAAGTGATTGGAAGCTTCAAAATGCTCCTAAAGCTTTGAATCTTCAAGCTCTAGTAGAGTCTTTAGCATTCTCCTTTGTCCTCTCGCTCAAAACCCCCTCTCTCTCTCTATTTTTTGAGTCTAATTCATGACTTATTACTATAGAATTTTGTTAGTGCACCATGGCGCATGTCCCCACGTGCCATAGCATGTGGACAGAGAGGGTTTCTTTGCATTTCTATGACGCATGTACTGCAGCATATGGTACAAAGCCATCTTCCTTGATTTTTCTCCCATTTTGAAGTTTGGGTGACCCAAACTCATTTTGGATTCATATTTAGGGCTAAAAACATAACCCAAAATACTTGTTAGTCTGCTTTGTCCACACACCATACTAATTCTTATTTAATTATCCTTAATTAATTCGATTAATAAGAGGTTTGAATTTTTAGGATGTTACAAAATGCTTGTTGTATTTTACATACTTGAGGAGGCTGCAAAGGGAATTGAGTATTCGCAAGGGAAAAGGTGGAACAAAAAAGGGAAGAAAATCAAAGCATGTTTCAATATGCAAATAGGGTGGACAAATTGTTGATGCTATATTTGACATTGGAAAGTTTCGAAGATGGGATTCAAGTTCCTCTCATGATGTTTATCATTAGCAATGTGATTAAAGTCCCATTTGGTTACTAGAAAGAAATTGGAATGGATTAAGAAAATAAAGGTAAAAATAAAGTGATCAAAAGGGATAAATAAGTACATTCATAAAGAGGAAGGGTAATTTAGTTTATGGAATTGGGAATAATGATTTATGAGGTTTTTGGAAGGTACAATAATTCTTACATTTATAATTATATTAATAAGTTTCATCATACTTACCATAAGAAAAGTGTGATTTAGTTCATTTTTATCTTGATTTTTCAATCCATTTCATTCTAATAACCAAATGGATCTAAATGCATTTGGAGACCCAAATATTATTTTGTTAAAGCATGATGTAAATAAAATTAGCTTGCTCAATGGAATATTAGTAGTAGTATTCATTTTGTGCTATATACATAACATTTCATAAGTAATTTCCCTCAACACATACTCATTGTAAGCAGTTTTTGAAAGTGCTATTCAATTTGTTGCAATAATATGCTTTAAGGTTTTTATATCCTATGATATTGCTATTGCAGAAGAATGTGTTTGGCAAGAACAACATAGAAATAGACCTCAAGAATAAGAATGGAATACTTGAAATAAGTCTTTTGATAGGAAGTTGGTTTTTTTGACATGCAAGCATAAGGTTCTCCAACAATAAACTAAGTTGTCTTTCCTCATTATGGCTAATGCCAACTCAATTCAAGACGCTTTAAGTGAAAAGGTTTCACCTCATTAGTTATTCTTTATCAAAACTCAAAAGTGAAACCAAGTTATTTGATGAAAATCATTATTGTCCTCATATTGATTTTAACTCTTTTTGGATAGTGGCTCAAATTAGGAGAGTAGATTGAAAAAAGAAGATAAAGCATGAGAGAAGATTGCTATAAGATTAGCAATATTATTTGGTAGTGAATGTTGGACTTTAATGGGGTAACAAGAGCATAAAGTTGAAGTGCAAAGATAAGAATGTTGAGATGAATGTGTGGATATGCACATAAAAACAAAATTTGAAATGAGCACATACGAGAAAAAGTGAGTGTCACACCTATTGAAGGAAAAAATGATAGAAAATCATTTGAGATGGTTTGGACATATGCAAAAAAAAAAACTATGGTGGGAGGCACCTGCGAGGAGAGTAAAATAGATAACTTTGAGCCTTATCAAAAAGGATAGATGAAGGCCAGCTATAACACTTTTGAAAGTTGTTGATTGAGATCTTTTAATTAACAATATTTCTAAAAGCCTACTAAATAGTAGAGCACAATAACATTATATAATCCATGGAGTTGACCCTACTTAATATGATAAGGCTTGTTGTTGTTGAGGCAATGGAAAAGGTCGAGTGGTTGTGATTTTGAGGATCATTCATAATTATATTGGTTTAAGTGAAGTAAATCATACTTTCTTAACATTTTGAAAAAACAAATGCATAATATGATTTAATTATTTATTTTAAATATATGAACTTGTTCATTGTGGATTGTGGAGGCATTATTTTTAGAACATATAGGTTGATAGCAACAATAGAGATGAAGTTCTTAAGATAAGAGATGAGTTACACTGATTGTTGAATAATGTATTAAACTGTGTTGTATGTTGTATGACTTTTGTCATTATATTTTGTGATATTTTTTTGGCCGAAGCATTGTGATATTATTAAATTTTAGGTTATGTATTGTGATTTTCCTTTATAATAATGCAATTTTATATATTAACTCATATCTTATTATTTATTTAGATAATTACTTTTCATTTAACATCTAGGCATCATACAGGACATATGCTAGTTTATAGATAAAAACAAGAAATAAAATAATATCTATTTTTAACTTTGTAGACGATATAAATAATACTCCCTTTGTTAAAAAATATAAGACATCTTTAATCGAATCTCACTTCTAATAAAGTAGTTACCTACTTTCTAACTAACTCTATTTTTTTTATATTTACGCCTATTAAACACCCTACAATAAATATAAAGTTATTATCGATAGGGGTACTTTTGAAAAAAAAGGCAATAATTACACCTCGAAAGACTAAAAATATCTTATATTTTTAAACTTTTA